AAAGCATTTACTTATCATACATTATAGAACAATGACTAATGCTCCTCAAAACAATACAAAAATACCATACAGAAATACAAAAATAAAATACTTTTAATAAGATAGACATCCAATTAATTACCATTCTCACTGCACACCTATTTTCACATTCTCCACTCATAACTCCAATTTTGCATGTTTTTTTTTTCATTGCCAATTATATAATATCTATTGAATGCCTGCCTTTGAAGTGAACTTGCAACACATATCAAATAATGCAGTACACAATGTAAGTAAAATCCCATCTGAGATTTACAAACACTTGAATGTCTCTCAAGTACTTCAAACTGAGAGATCTACCAGAGCCAAGAAAATTCTCATACGTACAGGAGTGCGGAGCTGGTCCTTGAGCCAGGTGAGGTAGAAGGTCAAGTCAGAGCCATCCATGGGCTCACGGGACCAGCAGGCCAGCTTTGCAATGATACGAGCAGTCATGTTGATGATGAACGTGTCTGGACGTGTCAGAAGGTTGAGGAAGGGGCTCCACATGCTCTCGCGGTGCTTCCGGGCATACTCCTTGAAGATTTCCACTCTGGCCTTGTCCTCCTGGAACAGGGCGGGAGACAAGGTGCTAGAGGCGCAGCCAAGGAATGAACAAGATTTTACGGGACTGCTACCCCCCCACAGTTAATTCAAAAAGAAATTCTGATCAAATAATAAGATTGGATCCAATATGTCTAATGACATAAAATGCTTTATCTGCATTTCTTTTATACCCAATATGCTGAACAAATATTAACAAATATTAACTAATATGACACATCCTATTACCAAGGGCCAACATCAATCACACAATGGCACACTGGCCCCTTTCCTAATTCCAAGAGTAAGAATCCCGCCCTCCGAAACTCACCGACAGGATGTCATCAACAAGGGTAAGGATGTACTGGATGGTCTGGTCCTTGCTGATATGTCCCAAGAGGTTCATGAATGTGCGGGCTACCTGGTACCTGTGGCTCGTCAGCAGCATATCCCGCATCTGGCCTGGCTGCTCCACTCCAACGATCACGTCATAGTCCTCTTGGGAGATCATCTGGGACCTGGAAATTTGAGGATATAGTGAAACATTTCTGAAATGGATTTAAAAAAACAAATTTAAAAAATAATTATTATCATTAGTATAAAACAGTCATGCGGAGGGGGGGGCAAAAAAAAAAGAGGAAGACAGAGAGAGGAAAAGAGTTGAAGAAGAGATGGGGGGGGATGAGAGGGGGAGAGAAAGCATAAAAGCAAGAGAGAAAATCTGGGATAGGGAAAGCAGAATGAGAATAGTAATTGAGAGAAATAGAGAGAAATAGAGTATCAAATACACATGTAAAGACCGCCAACTCACTGGAGGTATGACGGCCAGTTGACCTTCTGCAATCGGATCTCCTTTGCACGCTGCACAAGCATGCTTGTTGCTCCAGCCACCCCTGAAAGACAGCAACAGTACATACAAATTTCCTTACTGCACATCAGCATTTACAGTTTATTAAAATTCCAACTGAGCGCATTATTTTAGCATTAGTATGCAATTCTAATCTAATTTGCTGATTTTCCATTCAGCCTTTTGCTATATTTATACTGAACTTTGCTGAAACAGACATACTCATGACTATCCCCTGTAAAAGTTTATCTTGATCTATCACATGGTCAATAAATTAGCTATAATTATAATACTAATAAAGGGAAATCTCTACTGAAACAAAAGTAGGACAAACAACTTAAAATAATAATAGTAACAGTAATAGTAATAATAATAACAATAATAATAATAATAATAATAATAATAATAATAATAACAATCTACATTTACGTCTATATCTATATCTATATCTACAGCTATCTAATGCTTTATCTATCTCTTATACAAAAAATACATAAAAAGACATACACACATACATATAAGTATATACGTACATTGTATGATACAATAGCTCAAATTTTCAAAAAATGCAAAAGTAGCCTCCTTTTTTTGTTGTTGTTGCTTTTAGTTTGGGTGACTTCTGTCATATAATGGGCAGACTTGCCAGGAGGATTTATTTTAAAATAATAGAATCCTTAATGTTATTATTATTGTTTTTTCTAAATAAAAATGGGAAGTTTTGTTATCTTTTGCTTGTATTACATTTATTATAAATGTGTATATCAAACAATGGATAATGTATACAATAATAATGGATAATGGAGTTCCAATAAATAATTATAAATTATGTTTAAAATATTGTACATATGGGCCAGTCAGTAAGTTTTTGACATGATTTCAATGTCTGTTTCAAGTTCTGCTATCTCTATCCAACATTACCCTAATCAGTGGAGTAGTTTCAAATGATAATAACTGGTACAGAGATCTGGCAAAAAGGGAGCGAAATATTTCATTTAGCAATGACTAAACCATGTTACCCATGTCAAACTTCACATCTATATGATTTGGATTTACAAACTTCATTGATGACCATTAGTACAAAAACCTTCAAAAGTGTCCAACATCATCCTAATAAACAGTAGCTAAGAACATCATCAATCCAAGGTGTAGAACTAAACTATGAGCAAAATCAATTTCACAACTCTCTGAACACATCCACAGAAATGAAAGTGGGTTCTCATAAAATATTCTCTGCTTCCAGTCCCAATTACCATCACTGTGGCTTACTGCATATGCAGGCATTACTTATCACGTATGATTATACAAGGCTTGCCTTTTTTCATGCAACTAATATATCTGATACTGTTTAGCAAGTTTCTTTCTGCCACAATATCATCGCCATACCTCCTTTCCCCTTCTTGGGCCATTCTGTCCCTTAGCATATCCTACAGCCATTCTTATGAATAGAACCAAGAGAGTGTGCATTAGTACTTCTAGTACTGCATGATAAATTTCATCTTGCCAAAACCTAATCTTTTCCTCTCCCAAACTACCCCTCCACACAACTTGCTATTACATACCATAGTGTTACCTATTGGTACATCACAGTTTTTAATCATTTAAACATCTACATGTGATTAATACATCTACATACATTTTCCTACTTAATATGATAACTTACACTAAAATTTGTCATAATGAAACCTGAAACATTCTCAGACATTAATATTCATCATTAATTGGGATATGAGTTTTGAAACTCTCTAGGCATCTTACAAGGATACTGTGAAGATATACTCCAGCTGTAACTTTTATATGGTAAAATGGTATACCAGATAACTTGCTTTAAAACAAGGTTAGTAGAACATGCCTATCTGATGAAAAAGTGACTATTTTAGCCATATCTTCCATATGGCAAACTAGAAATCACATAAATCTGATTTTGATACAACTGCCCCATCCTTTAATCTTTAGATGGCACTGCAAATCCTTCTAGAATGGTGTCATTACTGCTTTTAAACATAGTAACATACAGGACTACAGATTTAAAATCAGAACTTTAAAAGCTAAAATAATAAGAGTAGAAAATGAAAAGATGTTCCCACATTCATGAAATAATTTCTAGATTTAGTGCCACTGACTTACAATATGAAAAACTCAAATAAATTGGACTCCACCTTTCTCTCTGTTAAACAAAGCCAATTTCCCAGGATAATCAAAATGTAAATTGGAAATATTAGATGGAGATATTAGATACAAAAAAATGCTATTCATTACTAACCAAACTGCATCCTCCTGAGGCTTAGCTACTATTAGTCGAGCTAATGCTTAATCCAGCTGAACCTAACCTTGCTCAAACCTATTTCTGCCCCTAAATTCCTCTCTGTATGGTACCCCCTATGTTGTGTGGTCTTATACTTTCCAATTTTCCACAGCGGTTCTGAAAGTGAATTTGTAGAGAAGTATATCTCCTCTTTGGTTCTTTCACAAAACAGTATTTTCCATCGTTATCTACTTTGTCTTGCCGTGTTGTCCTAATTACCCAAACATTAACTAAAAACTATCTGTAACATAAAATGTGTTTCGAATTTCAATAGCCATCGCTAATTCTTCATTCCATACAAAAGAGAGCAACTGGCACTGGCTAAAACAACTGAAACTTTGAACTGATGAAATGCTGAAATCTGCTTCCGTAATGCTTCTGGTGTTAATTAAACTCAATGAACCTCCACGATATGACTTACCAGTGAAATAATTATTAGGTTCTGGCACTCTAGAAAATAGTCAATGCGTTTTTATATGTACCAACGCTTTAATGCATAATTATTGAGACACACAATGGACCACTGAAGAACAGCAATCCTAATGGTTCTTACCCCTGTCTATGTCTTCAGGGAGGGCGGGCATGTTCAGTTGGTTCGACATTTTTGCGCAGAGACTGACTACCTTCACTACGTCCTCGCAAGTCGAAGTCACGGGACACACTGAGCCACGGATGCCAACAGGGAGCCGAACACCAACATGAAATAATGATGAATTGATGGGGAAATGTATCTTTATATCAGTTTCAGTAGATTTAGATATAATTATTGTATTATTTCTTGGTTATCTAAGACTATCATGTTGGTTATTATTATTGTTGATGATATTTGTTATCATATGATTTGGTTGGTATGTTTGGCTGTCAAATAGATGTCATTGTTCGAATGTCTTGGTTATATATTTTGGGGCATCTTTAGATTCAATCTACATTTAATTGAAGACAATTAAAAACTTTAAAGTACATTCAAACCCTTTTAAAAATAACATAAATTGGATATATATGACAAATGTATTAGAATAGTCATGGAAAACATCATTCATTTATATTCCATAAAATCGGACGTATTGTTTTGCTGCAGACGACTGGTCTGCTGATTTCCCACAATGCACCCTCTACAAGAGAAGCACGGTAAGCGCACACTCAAATTCATTAACGATTTATATGAAAAGATGTATATGTATCATCGCAAGTTACAAAAAATACCCGAATAACTGTAAGGCAAACAAGAAAGCTAACAACAAATGTTATTCAGTGCAAACTTTATACTATCTAGAAAAGAGCCATCGGCCAAGTGCGGCCTCGCGTCCAGATGTAAACAAGAACGTTGCGGAAAGGGGTTTGAGTCAGAAACTAACGTATTCACCTGTATATTCCTTAAGAATTAGACAAAGAGAAACACAAAATGGTGAAGCTCACGCCAGAACTTATTCAACAGTCGGTACAACACATTAACCCCGTCAGAGACCGAGAATTGATCTTGAGAGGCAAGTTTACAGCGTGTTTTTTGACGGCTTTGGAGGTTCTTATCGTTAGTTAAATTGGTTGTTTATTTAGGGTTAATGTTACCGAGAGCGACGCACAAAGATAGAGGGAAATGGGCATCTTATAGAGGATATGAAATAGAGGAACAATCAACACAACACAGCTGCAGTGACGGTATCTCTAATTGCCGACGGGCGCTGCCGGGAACCGACGGGCTGATTTGTAGCCTAGTAGCGTAAACTGTACATAAGATTCACTGCATGATTAGAGAACCGGTAGACTACTCATCTTTGACTGCGACTCTGTTGGAGTTAACTCTTGTCCACCCTCAATACAAAGTTTCATTTCACTACCATTTGTTGATGCTTCTAAAGATAAGAACCTGTGAACTCAAAATCACATTTTTTGGGTTTGCTTTTTTAACCCATTGGTATGACGTGTATGTAAGTGCTATGCCCACCGTGAGTACTTGTTTGATTGTTTTTACGCTTTGATGGCAATACTTGTACTAACTCCCCAATGAGCGAACTACGAGCACCGCCCGTCTCGCCTGTTTACCCGTTTCTTTGATTTACAAAATATTTTACGTAATCTTATTTTGCTGTTACTAATGCTAAAAAACATTATAAAAATTTTGTTTATGATAAAAATAACACTATTGATTTTCATAGCACAAGTGAAAAATACGTTTTTCCCGCCATTTCAAATCAGGCGCTAGCAGAGCCATCTATCAGCAGACATTTCACGAAATACATAGAAAGTGGGCACAGCATTTTCTCCATTTTTTGTTCATTTTCCCCGGCACCATTGGGTTAAAAAAAAATCTGGTAGGGGTAGGCCTACTAGTTTCTAGGGAAGAATAGTTAATACAGCAGGGGACTGGAGAACCATCCTGTATTCCTGGAGGAGTCTTCTGGCATGACGACGGCGTCCTCAACAGCCACGGTCTGGAACTGCGGCTAGCACAGACTCCCTATGATGAGATCGCTCTGCTGAGATTGCCTTGGACTATTATAGTGACAATAAATAAATGCAGAAAATTACGAGTCCAGCCCCTTGGGCTTACCTAGTAACTTTGGGAAATTTTAAACTAAAAGGTTTATTGAAATCCATTGACCACCACTTTCCGCCAAATGTACACTTTTCTGGGTCAGTCCTTAACCTATGATAATGTCCCCATTATATTATTTATTTAGGCAGAAGTGCCCAAACCTTTATTTCCACCTTAAAATATGAAAATAACTTATAATGAATCATTAATTCATGGCCCGTCAGTTCCTGGCGGCTCCCGGCGGCGCCCGTCAGCAATTAGAGTAACCCCAGCAGCGACCTCTTATTTCCCTCGAAGAGTCGGTTTGGAATTTTGGGTTCGTGTGACGCCCTGGCTTTGGGCCTTTGTCTCGGGAGGTGCGTCGCTCTCGGTAAGAAGTTAACAATAAACCTGCTCATGTTTTCATATTACGATGGATATACTGCAGTGTCATGCATATTGTTGTTCTGTCTATACCTTGTACCCAACGAGACTTCCAGTATTGGAAGACTTAATGCGTATGACAGCCAGGATTATAGTTAAAGAAGGGAAAACTTTCCATCTGTGTCATCCAAGAGTACAGTAATAAAAAAAAAAAAAGAAAAAAAAAAAAAAAGAAAAAAAGGTGTTTGGAGTGGTTACCTCAACAAAAATAAAATACTTTTCATATATGGCAAAAGGTATGCAAATCAAAAATAAGGGAGATACAGGACAGAGAAGAAAGAAGATCGACCCTTCATTTTCTAAGTCCCCATCGTGTTTACCTGGCGAGGACCAAAAAAAAAAATGTCATGTAATTCATTACTGCAATCTGTCAAGTAGTCCATGTATTACTATGTGTTTGTGAGAACGATCATTGAGTAATTATCAGTGTCTGTTTTTCTGAGTTCATGTATGTAATGCATTCTTGTAGTTTTATTATACTTCTTTTATATGTATTGGTAATTAGTTGCACTATTCTGTACAATAACCTTGTGCACATTCACGTTTTGCCACCCAGAGATTTAATAGGCTGTGCCATTCGTTGAGAAAAGCCTGGGAGAAATGTTTCATTTTAAGTGTTACATCGATTCCAGGTAATTTTTACAGCAACCTAGTGCCTCAAATGATGAAAAAAGTTATTAAAACCAAATGATTCTGACTGTAGACAGAAGCGAAAAAAAGTATGGTATTTTGTTATATAAAGGTATGTGGTTTTAGCCTGGGGGTCCAGGGGGCAGAGGCTATGACTAGGAAATATATAGATTATATTTTATTAAGCCACAGGGGTCCAGGCTAGGCAAATATAATTCCATGGGGGTCCAGGGGACATAGCCCAGTGTCTAGGCGTATAAATTACTATGGGGGCCCAGGGGACAGAGCCCCCTGGCTAGGCGTATAAATTACTATGGGGGCTCAGGGGACAGAGACCCCTGGCTAGGCTTATATATTACTATGGGGGCCCAGGGGACAGAGCCCCCTGGCTAGGCGTATAAATTACTATGGGGGCCCAGGGGACAGAGCCCCCTGGCTAGGCGTATAAATTACTATGGGGGCCCAGGGGACAGAGCCCCCTGGCTAGGCGTATAAATTACTATGGGGGCCCAGGGGACAGAGCCCCCTGGCTAGGCGTATAAATTACTATGGGGGCCCAGGGGACAGAGCCCCCTGGCTAGGCGTATAAATTACTATGGGGGCCCAGGGGACAGAGCCCCCTGGCTAGGCGTATAAATTACTATGGGGGCCCAGGGGACAGAGCCCCCTGGCTAGGCGTATAAATTACTATGGGGGCCCAGGGGACAGAGCCCCCTGGCTAGGCGTATAAATTACTATGGGGGCCCAGGGGACAGAGCCCCCTGGCTAGGCGTATAAATTACTATGGGGGCCCAGGGGACAGAGCCCCCTGGCTAGGCGTATAAATTACTATGGGGGCCCAGGGGACAGAGCCCCCTGGCTAGGCGTATAAATTACTATGGGGGCCCAGGGGACAGAGCCCCCTGGCTAGGCGTATAAATTACTATGGGGGCCCAGGGGACAGAGCCCCCTGGCTAGGCGTATAAATTACTATGGGGGCCCAGGGGACAGAGCCCCCTGGCTAGGCGTATAAATTACTATGGGGGCCCAGGGGACAGAGCCCCCTGGCTAGGCGTATAAATTACTATGGGGGCCCAGGGGACAGAGCCCCCTGGCTAGGCGTATAAATTACTATGGGGGCCCAGGGGACAGAGCCCCCTGGCTAGGCGTATAAATTACTATGGGGGCCCAGGGGACAGAGCCCCCTGGCTAGGCGTATAAATTACTATGGGGGCCCAGGGGACAGAGCCCCCTGGCTAGGCGTATAAATTACTATGGGGGCCCAGGGGACATAGCCCCCTGTCTAGGCGTATAAATTACTATGGGGGCTCAGGGGACAGAGACCCCTGGCTAGGCTTATATATTAGTATGGGGGAATATATATATCATCGTGTATAAATCCCACAGGATTAAGGTTAGATTGGGTTATTGGTTATGACACATTGTGCAATTACCATGAGAGATCGGGATCATGTGAAATCCCACAGATTTTTTTACCAAATGGTGGATTTGATTCCTGTAGTTTTTCAAAATTTGGTGTGTCAGTTTCTGATGACCACATTAGTAAGTTTCCTGATGGCCATATCAACTTTATACATAAAGCTTCACTGTTGCTCAAACAACAACAGTATTTTATTGATTGATTACATTTACAGTCATTAGTACACAGCAAGAAAAAAACAAAAAACTATGCACTATTGACAGTTCTATGTCAAGCCATTGTTGCAGCACAACAATTATTGTCAAATTTGGTAACAGTTCAATACTTAGACTTGCTATAAAATGTAAGATTAATAAATATGTATTAATAAATAAATACATTAATACTTCAGAGGCCATGGTAGTACTTGGTGCCATGTAGCTTAACTTCTTGCCCTCCCTACGTAACTACTAATGCTTTTAGCCCGATTCTGTTGTGTGTGCTATAACAGAACAGCAAATTATTAAACTTTCATTGTTTGCAATAGCAAAATTGGTAATAATCTTTGTCAGTACTGCATTTATTGTCCTATTAGAAGTAATAGGACAATAAATGCTTTTGCTTATTATTGGAAGATATAAATTTTCCCGGTATTCATTATTTGCTAGTTAACTGTACTAATCTTATATTGTTGTGCCTCCATTATTACACTTCATCATCATATGTCATCCTCGAAGCAGTTGTATTTTTAGCAGTAGGTGCATTTTGCTATTTATAAAACTAAAAATAATGTATTTGTCCAATCTCTTTATCTTGTCAGATTATACATGTTTGAGATTTGTTGATATTTGCCTTAGTACTGAATGTTTAAGGCCCACAGCAGTCTCTTGAGGTGGTCCTGTTGCTCGTACTTACCCTGAAATCTTCAGTATAACACGATTGTGCTGTGGTTTGAGATAACGGGAAAGATGAAAGTCAAATTTGGTATGGAAAAAACTCTGCAATTAAGAAATCTGGCTCTTCCCTTGGTGCAATTTGTTAACTAGTTCTAGACAAATTCTGTACAACTCAAACTGCATGTCATAATCTCCCAGTACAGTTGCTGTTCTTGAAAAGAGCAAATTACAATGAAATATATTTTTAGAAAAGTACCCCATATTGAGTTAGTCACAGTAAAATAGCATTTGACAAATCAAAAATAATGACTTAACAAAATTGACCCCTAAGAACTGCTAACCCACAGGCTTGTCTGTCTCCCCAGCAGGATGAAAGGCCTGATTTTTCATTTCACAATGGGAAACTTTGGTTGCAGGCATTTCGAGAGCTCACCATAAAAGATAGTCTATATTAAATTGTCATTTCATGTACAAGTTTTATTAGAGTTCAAATTTTTAAAGAATTATCATGGTTACCAAATCTGCATGAATGAATATGGGGATAGATTACTTTGAGTATGTAGAAAAAAAAACATGGAATTGTATTTTCATCATATAAAGCAAGAAAATGTGTAATTAGATGTATGTGTAAGTATTCATATGCATAAATTGTAAGAGGAGGATATACCAAGAGGTAACTCCATGATGCATAATATTAGGAAAAGATACAGGGCTTAGGCTGAATGAATTTTTCCATTCACCATCAGAGATTCCGCTTCACACTCACTATGTTCCATTCACAAGGAGAAAGAGGCAGATCACAACTGACTGGCTCATAGAAGGGCCCGTAAGGTGAGTAGGGGTTTAGGGGTATTAAGGTTGTAGGTTTGAAAAAAAGTTTACTAATTTCATTTTGAATTTAATTCCAGGCTATAAGATACCAGTCATAGAGAATCTTGGAGCAACTCTCGACCAGTTTGACACAGTTGACTTCAGTGACAATGACATTCGGAAACTGGACGGCTTTCCCCTTCTGAAGAGACTAAAATCATTGCTACTAAACAACAACAGAATTGTGTAAGTTTAACCTGTTGTAGTAATTATATGTCAGGCAGTCTTGTGAATATTGATTTATTGCTTGAAACAAAAAAGATAGTATTTTTCTCTCTCTCCTCTCCTCGTCTTTCTACCCCCATCCTCTTCTGCTCGCCCTATTTCCCCTCCCTACTGCCCTACCCACTTTTCTCCCCCTTTCCTTCTTCCTTCTTCCTTCTTCCTGCTATGCATCCCTCCCTCCCTCCCTCTCTCTCTCTAATGCCTCACCCTTTATACCTTTTGACTTCATAATAAGATCTTTGCTTTCTTTTGCACCAGCCGCATATCAGACACCCTGCCAGAGGAGCTTCCCAACCTCCAGTGTTTGTACCTGACCAACAACCTCGTGCAAGAATTAGCCGACCTTGATAACTTGGCAGGACTCAAGAAGCTTGAGCATGTGTCCCTCCTTGGGAATCCTGTCACCACTCGTGACCATTACCGCCTCTACCTCATTAACAAACTTCCACAGGTCTGTGTGTTGGGTCATTAGTTCTTTGGCTAGTTTGATAAATTACAAGATTTTTATAACTTCAACAAAGAGAGAGAGTGAGAGTGAGAGAGAGAGAGTGTGTGTGTGTGTGCGTGTGCGTGTGTGTGTGAGAGATATCATTAAAACATGATATTCTTTAATTTCACTGGTCCTCATATATTGTAAAACTGTTTGTTCATCTTGTCATACCTCTGTTCATTCATTTTCTGCCATGTCTCCTTCCCCAGGTGAGAGTGGTGGACTTCCGTCGGGTACGAATGCGTGAACGTGAGATGGCAAAGAAGCTGTTCAAGAGCAAGCTTGGAAAGGAGATTCAGAAGGAGGCCAAGAAAGCTCGAACTTTTGTGGCGGGAAGTGGCATCATGGATTCTCGTCCTGCTCTCAGTAAGGATCGGACGGGTTGGAGGTGTTCTCTGATTGTGCTGTCAATATTTCACTTGTAGGTTAAGAATTTCCAGAAAAGAAACTGGTGAATGATTCATTGTGTTAACTTATAGCGATGACTAACACTTCTGTCTTTAATGATTTATAAAAGGAGAAGAAAATGATAATTTGTCATTCTAAACAACAGACCAGATGACAGCAGAGGACCAAGCTGCCATTCGCCAGGCTATTGCCAATGCCCGGTCTATGGAAGAGGTGGAACGCCTGCAGCATATGCTTCGGACGGGCAACATCCCCGGCAGATCACAGGGCATAAAGCGCAGTAAGTTGTGCCGTGCGTTTAGTTGATGGCTTTAGTGTCTTAAATTTTCTGATAGCATTCAACTTCGCTTAGTGGAGTGTCTCAGAGTGACTTGATTGCCTAAGTGGTAAGCCAAACAAAGTTCAGATTGTATGATAGGTTAATTTGTTCTAAAAACCTGAGTATACTTAATATGCATGCAAATGTTCATCCTTTAGGGATTTAGGTCTTTAGGTCTTGTCAGTTCTTTATTTATTCAGAAAGGCAGTGAGGAATTATTCTATTTACTGTACCTACTGACTTGGTCTCTACACAGACAGTGTTGCAGGTTGGATGAAGGGGGGTAAAGAGGCAGTAAGTATAAAGGTCTCCAGATTAAAGTAACAACCAGAGTTTTATATTGTTGGAAGTCAAACAACTACAGTAAGAAATGTAAAGCAATTTTGTAGTCTATGCAGTGGATTAGTGAGGTTGCTTTCAATTGATGATTTTTTTTTTTTTTTTCTTCTTCTTTTTTTTTCTTTTTTCTTATGAACTGCACAAGAAAAAGAGTTAGATAATGCCAGAAAATGCTGGAAAGGAGCCAGGTCTAGCCTGTGCAGTTGAAAAAGTAATCAGGCACTTCAGGGTCACTTATTTGTATTGAAAGCTTATGTAATATGTTATGAACAATACTAGTAATTAAAATCAAAATCCTTTATCGTAAAGTTAGACTTAAGAATGGAAACCTTGGTGATCAGGTGTTTGTGGGGCCATCTGTGTGTAAACAAAATTATTAAAGTAAAGTCACAGGGGATATGGCATATGGCATAATACACTTAAAATATACTGAGGTTGATAGCAAGGTCAAACATTAGCGAAATAATCAGGGGAATGTATTTGTTATGTATAAGAAATGGCTGTTGCTAGATATGTATGCTTTAGGGGAAATGTTTCTGAACTAGGTGGAAAGTTGTAGCAGTTTCCCGAATATGTAGAAGTTTGGAAGAACACAGCGTAAAGAAAAGTTTCCTATCTAATGTGATTTTTTATGCTTATAGTGAGAATTTTCAGTGAGTGTTCAGGTTTCACAAGAATATTTCAGTGGTAGTGCACACCCTTAGCAAGCAGAATGGTATTTCAAGACCTAATACATGTGTCAGTTGAAAATAAGATTTTTTGACGAGGAAATAAATACAGGGGTTATAGGTACTAGTGTTAAGTTTGTTAATACAATGATTTAACTTTGGGATTTTATTGTGCTTCTGCTATTTGGAACTAATTATTTTTTCTCTGTTTTTCAGGACATGGAGAAGAGGAGGAGGATAATTAGAAATAACCACAAAATAAATTTGATTGTCAACTTTGCATCCCTTTTTGTGTACCTTTAAAAAAGGAGCATTTCTTAAATGCAAATGATATAGTTGATTGTAAATTTTTTATGTCTTTTTCCAGTAAATTAATAGGTTTGTTTATACACAGTTATTCTTTTTCTTTTCTTGATCCTTTTCTTTCATAATGCTTTTTGCGGCTCAGCAGAAATTGGTAAGTAAACAGCATTGTCTTTTTGTGAAAGAATATAACTGTTGATATTCATATGAAGACATTTGATGAGTGAGAAGTGATAAGAACAGATACACAACCTCTCCATCATGTGTTTTTCTATGTATATTTTTTCATGACTCAAGCGAAGTTGACAGACAGAGTTTTTATGTTGAAAGGGTTGAGAAGTGCTAGGTGAAATGTGTGCTGGAGTTTTGATGAAGTAAAAGATTCTTTTGGAAACCAGTGAGTTTGATTTCCTTTTTGATATCTTGGAAGCATGTGTATGTTTGTTTTTATTTCTGTGTTTGTGGAGACAGAAGCAGACAATGAATGAGTCATTGAGTATATTAAGATGAGGAACAAGAACTTTGCATTGCATAATCAAGTGTTTTTGTAAAAGCAGCCTTATAGATATATCCCTGATTTTTTTTCAAGTAGCTTTATAACCATAATCTGCACTAACTTCAATACAAATTTGATCATATGCAAACTTTTTAGTATTTAATAATATGGATACTTCCAAAACAAATAGTTGAATAGCTCAAAAACTCTAATTGCATTTGGAATTAAAAATAAATGCACAAAAGCAAGTAGCATGTCCATGGTGTTTGATATCCCATGGTAAAGCAGCTTCAATAATGATGATGATGATGATGATGATGATGATGATGAAATATATATATATATATATATATTTATCCTTCCTACTACTCTTTCTTCTTTTTCTTCTCCCCTCCCCTTCTCCTCCTCTCCTCCCCCTCTTCCTCCTCCTCCTCCTCCTCCTCCCTTTCTGTCTCCTTGTTTGTAGAAAGTTTATTTTCGGCTCATTTTGAAAAGCCTTGAACTTTGTGTCGACAGTAAGAAAAACAGATATACAATAAGATAAATGTGAAGTTACCCCCTTGTGAATATCTGAAGGTTTCTAGTTGAATAATAGAGAAAATTCAGATTTTTCTTGTAAGTAGAGGATAGATCTTTTCATTTTTCTTCTTACTCTTCATCTTTCTTATTCTCTTCTTTCTGCTGCTTCTCCTTTTCCTTCTTCATCTTTCATCTTCATCTTCCTTTTTCTCTTTTTTCTTCCTTTCTTTCTTTCTCTCCCTGTTCCTCCTCCATCCTTTCTTTTTGTCCTCCTCCTCTTTCATTCTTTCTTTCTTTCTCCTACTTTTCTTTCTTTCTTTCTCCTTCTTCCTTTCTTTCTTCTCCTCCTTTCTTTCTTCTCCTCTTTCTTCTTCCTTTCTTTTTCCTCCTTTTCCTTCTTCCTTTCTTTTTTTCTTTCTCCTCTTTCTTCCTCCTTTCTTTCTCCTCCTCCTTCTTTTCTTTCTTCTCCTCCTCCTCCTTTCTTTCTTTCCTCTCCTCCTCCTCCTTCTTCCTTTCTTTTTCTCCTCCTTCTTCCTTTCTTTCTTTCTCCTCCTTCCTTCTTTCTTTCTCCCCCTTCCTTTTTTTTCTTTCTCCTCCTTCCTTCCTTCTTTCTTTCTTTCTCCTTCCTTTCTTCTCCTCCATCTACTTCCTTTCTTTCTTCTCTTCCTCCTTCTTCCTTTCTTTTTTCTCCTCTTCCTTCTTCCTTTTTTTTTCTCCTCCGCTTCCTTCTTTCTTTCTTCTCCCCCTCCTTCTCCTTCTTCCTTTTCTTTTCTCTTCCTCCTCCTTCTTCCTTTCTTTCTTCTCTTCCTCCTCCTTATTCTTCTTCCTTTCTTTCTCCTCCTCCTCGTCTTTCCCTTTCCTCCTTCTATTCTTTCTCCTTCTGGTTGTCAGATTTTGCTTTTGATTTTGTCTTTTTTTTCTTCTTCATCTCCCTTCTTCTTCTTCCTCCTCCTTTTCCTTCTCCTCCTTCTCATTCTCCCTCTCCCTCTCCTTATTCTTTGCTTTCCTCTCCTCCTCCTCCTCCTCCTTCTCTTTCCTTTCCCTCTTTCTTCTCCTCCTCCTCCTTCTTTTCCTCCTCCTTCTTTTCCGTCTCCTTCTCCTTCATCTTCTCCTCCTCCTCCTCCTCCTCCTCCTCCTCCTCCTCCTCCTCCTCTTTCTCCTCCTCTTTCTCCCACTTATTATCCTTCGCTTTCTTTTCATTTTCTTCTTCTCCGCCTCCTCTTCCTTTTCCTTCTTCTCCTCCTCCTCCTCCTCTTCCTCACACTTTTTATCCTTCGCCTTCTTCTCATTTTCTTCTCCTCCTCCTCTTCCTTCTTCTCCTCCTCCTCCTCTTCCTCACACTTTTTATCCTTCGCCTTCTTCTCATTTTCTTCTCCTCCTCCTCTTCCTTCTTCTCCTCCTCCTCTTCCTTCTTCTCCTCCTCCTCCTCTTCCTTCTTCTCCTCCTCCTCCTCTTCCTTCTTCTCCTCCTCCTCCTCTTCCTTCTTCTCCTCCTCCTCCTCTTCCTTCTTCTCCTCCTCCTCCTCTTCCTTCTTCTCCTCCTCCTCCTCTTCCTTCTTCTCCTCCTCCTCCTCTTCCTTCTTCTCCTCCTCCTCCTCTTCCTTCTTCTCCTCCTCCTCCTCTTCCTTCTTCTCCTCCTCCTCCTCTTCCTTCTTCTCCTCCTCCTCCTCTTCCTTCTTCTCCTCCTCCTCCTCTTCCTTCTTCTCCTCCTCCTCCTCTTCCTTCTTCTCCTCCTCCTCCTCTTCCTTCTTCTCCTCCTCCTCCTCTTCCTTCTTCTCCTCCTCCTCCTCTTCCTTCTCTCCTCCTCCTCTTCTTCTCCTCCTCCTCCTCTTCTTCTCCTCCTCCTCCTCTTCCTTCTTCTCCTCCTCCTCCTCTTCCTTCTTCTCCTCCTCCTCCATCTTACCCTAATTGCAAGCAAAGCAAAAGCGTCACTCGGGAATGTTGCCAGAGTGACGATAAAGCCACAAAATTGAGCGAAGAAACCGCGGAAGTTTATTTTTTTAAAATGTAGTTACGTGTACCTAGTAATTGAGTGTAATGTGTGTATGAAAGTTAACAGGCAACCATTAACACAAAACTTGAGGTAATTACTGATGGAGGCAAGTGGAAATTGCAAATAATTTGCCAAAAAAAAGTTGAATTTATCAGTTCGTGCTGAGAATGTCGAAGTTTTATATCATATCTAATGGTTGATATACGGTAGATAAGCAGAATAGTGAAAGGCTGCTAAACAATTTCATGCATACATCGAGAACAAAAAAAAAAAAAAAAAAACATTTGAGATTTAGGAAATGTTATAGAATGGTGGACAGAGAGAGATAGAAAAAAAAATAGTGAAACGATACTAAACGCGGACAGGAATTGTTTCCGTAATCGACCGCGGAGCCACATGTGCTGCAAGGGAGGGAGGGATTGCGCAAGGTAATCGTCGCCTGACTGTAGGCTACAGAATTATGGACTGTATTTGCCACCTCTCTCTCTCTTTCTCTCTCTCTCTCTCTCTCTCTCTCTCTCTCTCTCTCTCTCTCTCTCTCTCTCTCTCTCTCTCTCTCTCTCTCTCTCTCTCTCTCTCTCTCTCTCTCCTCTATCTCTTGCTTCTGTCATTCTCTCTGTCTCTCGCTCTCTCTCTCTCTGTCTCTCGCTCTCTCTCTCTCTCTCTCTCTCTCTCTCTCTCTCTCTCTCTCTCTCTCTCTCTCTCTCTCTCTCTCTCTCTCTCTCTCTCTCTCTCTCTCTCTCTCTCTCGCTTCTCTCATTCTCTCTCTCTCTCTCTCTCTCTCTCTCTCTCTCTCTCTCTCTCTCTCTCTCTCTCTCTCTCTCGCTTCTCTCATTCTCTCTCTCTCTCTCTCGCTCTCTCATTCTCTCTCTCTCTCTCTCTCTCTCTCTCTCTCTCTCTCTCTCTCTCTCTCGCTTCTCCCATT